AAGGAGGGAGAGAGGAAGGAAGGAGGGAGGGAGAGGAAGGAAGGAGGAGGGAGGGAGGAAGGAAGGAGGAGGGAGGGAGGAAGGAAGGAGGGAAGGAGGGAGGGAGAGGAAGGAAGGAGGGAGGGAGGAGAAGGATGCGAGAAAGAGGAAAACGAAGGAGGGAGGAAGAGGAAGGAAGAAGCAAGAAAGGAAGGAAGGAGAGAGGGAAGGAGAGGAAGGAAAGAAGGAAGAGGAAGGGAAGGAGGCAGGAGGTAGAAAGAAGGGACGGAAGAAAGGAAGCGGGAAGGAAAGAAGGAAGAAGAAGGGAAGGAGGCAGCAGTGATAGAAAGGAGGCAGAGAGGGAGGGAGGGAGGAAGGATGAGAGGAAGGGAGGGAAGGAGGAAAGGAGGGAGTTGGCTTTCACCCACTTTCTCCCCATCCCAGGGAATGTTATCTCCCATAATCCCATAATCCCATAATCCACAGCCAGAAGCATCGGGTACCACAGCCGGCATTAAGGGCGCCATCCCTGCAACGCCTGTCAGCTGAGTACCAGGGACAGGTGGTGGTTCTGGAGCCTCAGGCCCAACTCCAATGCCTGGCCTGGAGGGTGGGCTTCGTTGCCCCCCCCATGGCGTCCCCTGCTCCCAGCCCCCTTGCCCCCCCCCCAACCTCACCTGGGCCACCAGGGCCTTTCGGCTGTCCCGCTTCACCGCCATGGCAAAATCCAGCCACGTCCAGGTGTTGTTGTGGTACTCCAGACACGGCAGCACCAGGTTGAGATCCCCCCAGTCCACGCTGTTCTTCTCCCCCTGCAGTGACGGGGGGGAGGGGGCAGGAAAGAGGAGGGTATTCAGAAGCCCCCCCCCCGAACTCTTTTCCTAGCGGCCCCCACCCCAGACACTGACCCAACCGCTGTCTCTCCAACCAAAGCAATCCTGGGCAACTGACCGCCACAAGATGGCGGGAGGGAGGGAGAACCCAATGGGGCCTCTGACTAGGCAGACCCCCGACTGCCCCCCCCCATGACCCCGCCCCATACGCACCTTGTAGCTGACGCAGAGGGGCACCTGGGGGATCTTGATGTAGATGAAGGAGTGGTTCATGGCCGCTCGCTCCTTCATCTTGTCGATGTCGTCCACTGGGTACTGGGGAGGAGGGCGGGGCGGGAGAACGGCCGTTAGAGCCAGCCCAGCGTCCCCCCACCTCGTCCCCAGTGTCCCCCCCGGCTTTCCTGGCAAGGCTGCCGCAGGAGGGAGACACCCCCCCCACAAACCAGGCCGTGACAAGCCCCCGATTTACAAATTCATTTAGTGACCGTTCCAACTTGCGATGGCACCGGAAAAAGGGACCGTGTTTCACACTCACGACTAGGGTCACGTGGACTGATCCCCCCTTGTGGGACCTTCGGAGGAGCCACACTGGCAGAGGAATTCGCTTAACGGACCGTCTTGCTAAACTTTTATAACGACGGCAGGGATTCGCTTAAGAACTGTGGCAAGAACGGTCGTGAAAGGGGCAAAGCTCACTTAACAACGGCCTTGCAAAGCCGGCCTGGGAGAGGAAGTCCGCCAGGCCGAACGTTGCCAAGGTGGGAGACCCCTGCTCTAGGGCACTTCCCGAGGGTCTCTCTCGGAGAAGGGGAGGACACCGCTGGGCACGGAGGAAGCAAGACCTTGCACACACACACACACACACACGCCTCCAACCTCGGGGTGCTTCGCTTGGCCAAGGGCCAAGAAGTCCCCGAGCGGCGGCTACCTCAGGTGTTTTGCGGAAGGAGCGCCTGACCCCCGATGTCCGGTTCAGCCCTTGGCCCATGCCCTTCCCGGAGCCCAGCGAGTCTTCCGAGACCATCAGCTGACGCGGCTTGACCACCGGCATACCTGCGCGTCCAGGAGAAAAACTCCCGTCAGATGGGGAGAGCCCAACTCACGGGTGGCCCCCCCCCCCCCTTTGACGGGGCATTCGGTTTTGCAGCTACTACGATTGTCGGCCGGGCAGGGACAAAAACAGCCCAAAGAGTGACGATTGAGAAGCCTCGTCGGTCAATCGGAGCGCTGGTGGACAGTTGGCTGAAATGGCAGAATTTGACTATTTTGATGACAGGAAAAGAATAATAATAAGGACTTCTGTTTCCGCAGGGAAACCGCTTCTGAACTTTCTGCTTGGAGTGGAAAGGAATGAAGCTCTGATTTTGGGGTCTCCCACTTGAACCCCTTTAAGACTGGTGGACTTCAACCCCCAGAATTCCTGGCTGGGAAACTCTGGGAGCTGAAGCCCCCGAGTCTTAAAGCGGCCAAGCGGGGAGACCCCTGGATTAGACTGACAGATCCTTAGAAAGGGCTGGCTCACATTATGACGATGATGATGAAAAAAGCAAATCGTGCCGATTCGATGTGAATGTCTTATCTGAAGCCAACGTATCTTTTCCTTTTCGTTCTTATCCTCCCTCGCTTCTCTTCCCCACCGTTTTTCCTTTCGTATTTGGCATCTCATTTTATTTTATAACCCCATAAAAAATATTCAATGCTGATTCACGGCTAGCTTACCAGGGCAAACACTTAACCACTTAATGGCCACCCATCAACACTACTAAATTTAAATCTACACACAGTCAGGCATGACATTCCCTGCGGAGGGGGATCCAGCACAACTCGGAGGACTCAAACCTCCGGTCCCCGTGACCGATCCAGATTGGATCCTGCGATATTATCCTGGGACACGTACCCTGTTTCCCCCGAAAATACGAACCATCCTGAAAGTAAGACCTACCTTGATTTCTACACATGCGCCCAAGAGAAGCCCTACCCCCAGAATAAGCCCTAATTAAGACCCCACCCACTCCAGAATGGATGGGTAACAATTAAGCCAGGGTGGGCATGCCGAGTGGCGGAGCTGCCCTACTATTTACCTTTGGGCAGGTGTAGCCAGGCCTCGCACACCCCGACACCTGCCTTGCCGGCCCATTTCTTCTGCAGCCAGCAAGGCTTTCTGAAGGCTGATGACAAAGCTCTGGATCGATCCTGAAGGGTGCAGAGGCCTTCAGGAGAGCCTTGCTGGCCACAGAAGGAGGAGTTCCGGAAGGCCTTTGACAGCGAAAAGGAGGCCAAGTGTGAAGCCCGCAATCAAGGTTAGCCAGTGGATGGCATCCCCCCAAAATAAGACCTGGTGCCTTTTTTTGGTGACAAAAAAATATATAAGACAGGGTCTTATTTTTGGGAAAACATGGTAGATTTTGCCTCCGTTCACATCAAAACTCCCAGCTCCCACAGCTCTTCCCCCTCCCCCCCCCAGGACGGAGCTGGGAAGCGTGCAGAGAGAGGCGCAAGGCAGCCTCCTTTGGAGGGGTGGGGGCTGGGGGTGCCCTTCCCGCTCACCCGTGGTCACCAGCTTGGACTTGTCCTCTTCGTCGCCCACTTCCTCCTCCTCCACGTTGCGTCCGGGGAAGAAGAAACCCATCATGCGTTGGAAGAACTGGTGGGTCAGCTGGATGGTCAGCGGCACCACGTTGACCTGGGGTTTTTTTTGGGGGGGGGAGGAGGGGGCACGGAGATTAGGCTCCCCACGTGCAAAAAGGGGAGGGAGGGCTCAGCCCTCCACCCAGCCCCGCTCACCTCGAAGTGCTCCTTGATGGAAATGCCACCCACGGGCGGGCGGACCTTGCTGAAAATCCGCAGGGCCAGCTGGCGTCCCGACTGGCAGGCACTCTGGGGCCGCAGGACTACCTGGCGGGGGGCATACCAGAGGTCAAAATTCCCCCTCTGCAGGGGGGAAGCCCCCTCCTTGCTTGTACGCCCTCTTAAAACCTGTGGTGGGATCGACCCTGAGCCCCCAGACCCCATGGTCACAGGGGGCCAAACGCATGATGAGCTGGAGCAAATCCTCGATTCGAGGTGGCACAGGAGACAAC